CTCTTCAACTAGTTTTAAGGCTGGTTGCCAAAAATTAGCTAAAACTAAAGTGAAACAAATGAAAATAAACCAAAAATCCAACAGTATAAAACAGCAATATAATAGCAATATGACAAATCCTAATCAGCATAAAACCAATGGATACTGAAATAAAAATGTCCTGAAAATCAGGTTAGGCACAAGGCAAGTCTCACTGGAGCTCGTAACCCATCACTGACTCTACCTTTTTGGTAGAGTAGGGGCACTTAATAAAGGTATTTTTTGTCTAGGTGTCCAGGTAAGGACACATGGAAACAGTGTTAGTTTAATATGATTCTGAACCCTCCAAATCTCAAAGGGGAAAACCAACACATGGAATAGCCATGTCCTGACAATTCTTTTGCATATGCATAGGTTGGGATCACAGCAGTCATAGTTCCTGTTCCTGTTGCATTCATTTCAGTTGCCTGAAAAGGGCTATTAGTTATTTCAGTTTAGAGGCAAGGGAAGTAAACAATCTGAAGAATGCCTAAAGAATGAACCATGAAAACTGAAACAAGAAGCTGCTCTTGTGAATCAATAGGATGGTTTCCTGGCCAAACACATCATGCCCTATTAGACACTGATGGCAGGACTGTTGGGACATCTCAGGATTGTACCAGTCCTTCCCAGGGAAAAGTAAAAGCAGGAAGGAAGGAGTTCAATAAAACAGGAAATCTTTTAATTTCATGTAATCTTCAAATCCCAGCAGGCAGTTGTTTTATTGATGACCCTCCAGAGCTTTTCACTAAGTAAGTAAATATTTAATGATGTTTTCAAAAAACCCATATTGAATTGTTGGATTTTAGTGACATAAAGCTTGTACTAGAGGAGTCAAATTGCTAGAGAGTTTAAACTGATTAAATGAATATTTCACCGTAATAGAATTACTGTGCAATTTTTTAAAAAATGTAGCACTAATAAAATTCTCACAAAACAAACAAGCTGCTTGAGTAAGATCATATCCCACTAAGGAAAGATAGGTGTTGACAGTTTAGTGGTTTTAAATTGCTGCTAATAATAATCCCAGTGGCATTAGAATTAGAATTGCTCTAAGAAATCAAAATCAGTAGAGAGTGACGCAGAATGAAAGGGAGGAATCAACACAGACACTTCTTCTTCTACAGAATTTCTCTTCTAGTTTTTATCATGTTTTCAGACAACTTCTCCTTTCAATTTCCTTCCTTCCACACATCCTGAAATAGCTCTTAAACCTCCCAGTTACTCAGCTCTTTCCAGTCTAATCATTCAATCACGACCCTCAGCTTTCTTAAAATACAGTAAAAAAGAATACATAGTACATATTTATGTAGTTCTAATCTACTGACTGCCTTGGTGGCGCAGCCGGTTAAACCACTGAGCTGCTGAACTTGCTGACTGAAAGGTTGGTGGTTCGAATCCAGAGAGCGGGGTGAGTTCCCGCTGTTAGGCCAAGCTTCTGCCAACCTTGTAGTTCGAAAACATGCAAATGTGAGTAGATTAATAGGTACTGCTTCTGTGGGAAGGTATCGGCACCATGTAGTCATGCCGGCCACATGACTTTGGAGGTGTCTACAGACACCATTTCCCAGAGTCAGACACGACTAGACTTAATGTAAGGGGAAACCTTTACTTTTAATATACTGAAAGAGCTCCACTATCCCTATCATCTTCTTTTTTCCCTTTTTTCTTTGTGTGAAAATAAAAAAAAAACTTATGGGAAAAAAGAATACTAAGGATATGCTGAACTACAGTATTTGTACTGTAAAATTATAATGTCAGTGCCATTATGTCACAGTAGCATACCCTCCAACTGTCCCAAATTAGTAGAACTAGTCCCAATTAATCCTCTGCCATCCCACTTTTCCAGCTGCTTTTAAAATGTCCCATTTTCTCTTCTTCCCACTTCTATCCTCATCTTACATCAATTGCTGTAAAATGAATTGAAAATGCAGAACACTGCATTCTATTAAGTCAGCAGGGGGCAGAGGAGAGGGAGTGACTGAATTTTGCCCTTCCCAGTAGACTCATGCAATGGTCTGTATGACCATGTTCTAGAAGCATTCTCTCCTGATGTTTTGCCTGTATCTATGGCAAACATCCTCATAACCTCTGAGGATGCTTGCCATAGATGCAGACAAAACATCAGGAGAGAATGCTTCTAGAACATGGCCATACAGTCCCAAAAACGTACAACAACCCAACAGCAAACTCCTACAACTTCTTGTAGTTTGTGTTTTCTTCCTCATTAATAACTTTTAAAATTTTGACCACACTTTAATACTGATTAGCTATATAAAAACATTAACCGAATGCTACTCTCCTTGTAAGGCTTTTACATTTAAAAAGTTCTGGATTAGTGAACACAATGTGTTTTGGTTAGCTTTCCTTCCTGCCTTCTTTCCTTCCTTCCCTCCCTCTAGTTGTTTCTTCCTTTTTTTTTGTCCAGATCCCACAGATTAGGTCACATAGGCCCCTTCCACACAGCTGAATAAAATTCCACACTATATGCTTTGAACTGGAATATTTAACAGTGTGGACTCAGATAACTCAGTTCAAAGAAGATATTGTGGGATTTTCTGCCTTTATATTCTGGGTTATATGGCTGTGTGGAAGGACCAATAGTTACAGTAAGAAAATTAGGATAATCCATCATTCTTAGATTTATATTACTCCAATGTCAGTTATGCAGATAATTTATATGTGCACAAACAAGTGGAACCCTTGATATTGGAGTACAAGTCTTACAGAGAGTGATAATTGAAAACATGTTGGTTTCTGAGCCGTTAAAACAGGTCAGGATATACCCTGAAACAAACAAATCAATTCATATTCTGCTCACACTGCCTGCCATTCAATCAGTATTTTAAATGTTGAACCCTGTATTACTGTTGGGTGAGTTTCCTTTCAACAAATATGAGGCGGCATGTAAAGAGAAAAAGGGTGGCCTTAATTTCATCAATTTGCCCCTTTTCTTTTCCCTTCTTTTGAAATTAATGGCTACTGGCAAATTATTTTGGTTAGATAATTAGAAAACCGCATGGGTCCAATACAGCTTCAATTAACACGTACTTAAATTTATTTCACCCCCCCCCCACATTTCTTCCAGTGAAATCTGCTAGATTTTAAAGTGTTTAACTGTATAGTTGGTTACTATAATATTCTAACATACTTTTTAGCTAATCAGAAGAAAACTAAACTCTATGCTCAATAGAACTGCTCTCAAAATATGCTAATTTCATCCTGTCGTATTAATTCCACTCTGCCATCTCCATAACATTTAGGTGCATTTATTCTTATCATGACATTTACTTATTTTATTACTAATTTATTAAAATAAATATATTGTTCTTCATATCAGGAGACCATGGAGCAGGATACAAATAATAAAAAACATGACAACAATCAATAGAATAAAACAGAACACAGATATCCATAAGCCATCAGGCCATGCTTGTTGGTCTTTGAAAGCTTGGATAAAGAGCCATGTTTAATTTGGGGCAAGAATGAAGTCAAAATCCATGCAATTTAGGCCTCCAAAGGGGCAGTATTCCATGCTTGAACTTCCACCCTATCTTCTACATAGCTGCATGTTGCTTACAGTAGCTCAAAATTATTGAGGTTGAGAGACAATGCTGTTTTCTTGACTCCATTGCAAGGTCTCCTGCCCTCAATATATTTTCTAGATTGGCACACATTGTTGAAAACAGTAAAATAAAGAGGTTAAGACAAAATCTGGCCAGAATCCTCTATCACAGGTATCAATGTGTGTGACCTGGAGTTACATACTTGTAACTGTTAGGTATTCACAATCCCTATGTGGCCCTTAATTATTGCTCTGTAGAGATTGAGAAAACCCCCACATACCAATGTGGAGGAGGAGGGTGGTGTCTGTTCCCTTGTTGACTACCATTCCCAGCCTTACTTGTGAGACTGATTTCGCACACAAAGAGGAATTATGATAGGGGTTTTGGTTTTTCTTGTCATACTGGAGATCACTCACAGGAGGGGGTTGAAATGGCAATAGGCTGTTTCCCTGATCAACAGGGAAACAGACCTTGGTTGATCACAATAGCTTCATCATGGTAAGTAGCGACTGGTGGGATTGGGCTGAGATTCACTCCATAGGACCATAACTATTATGTGTACAAATAAGTATATTCCACACAGGATTCTAGATAATCTACTTCAATTCAATTAATAGTCCCAACTTGAGTAGTCCCATTGCCATAAAATGCCATATACTTTCCCATTGAGTTAATTGGCTTCCTCATGTTGGAGCTAAAAATTGAATTTAGACCATAATTTCATTTCATATGATTCATGTTTTGTGCGGCTTCTTAGTTGTATTTGTCTGTGGTTTTCACAGTTGTCCTTTTTGAAATAGAAGAGATTTTGATCAGTGAAAACATAGCAAATATTATTGACTGATACTGATACCCAGCTATAACAAAAGAATAGAAACAACTATGTAAAAATCAAGATTAAAAAGAATAAAAACCAAAGAAATTAAACTGTATTTACTCAACAAGGATTACTGACTCTCCTGAACCTAACACAATATCTCTCAACTTTACCTGGCTGCAGTGCAATGTTTACAAGTCAGATCTTACCAGAAGTGCTAGAATAAACCCTATAGTCAATTTATAAGAGCTTTACCTACAGGATAAAGCATTTAGAAGGACAAGACTTAGTATCACTTATGGGGAAGTGAGAAGCAATAAGAATTGAACTTGTGAAGAATTTTTGGCAGAAAAAGATCTCCTATTTCATTTCTGAGGAAAAGAAGTATTTCTAAAGCTGCATTTACCACTTCCCTCAAACCAGAATGGCCTTTTAAAGATCCAATGTGCTAGGCAACCCCCCATTGCCCCCCTCCCAGGCTATTCTGTGTTTTACAGTCTGACAAAAGTCTTCAGAATGATATCGGAATGAGATGGATGAGCGAGATGGATGATATAAAAATGGTTTCAACCGGCATGTAATAAACCTTTAGTACTTACAGCTGTCCTCTTCTTCGGTGATACATTTCACAACATAACAGGCGTAGATGAATCCTGCCAGCTTAAACAAAATGGAACAATATTAGATATACAGTAAAAGTGGTGAGCATTCTCAGCAGTGGCGAGTGCTTGTTAAGACAAAAATCAATCTTCCCTGAGTTTTGTTATGAAAACTGTAATTCTTTCACGTAATTTTATATTTCAGCAATAACCATCCTCTCACGATAAATCCATAATGACCGTATGAGCCTGCTACAATGCATGAGCATTCTTTTTCAAATTCATTCATCACTTCCTATCGCTCAGAAATGATAAGGAAATAGAAAGAAATGGATATGAATGCCTCACATAGTTTCAGTGAGGCTCTTTTCGTACTGAGTATGATTCCCAGCAAGAATTATTCCCCCAGTTGAATGTTACTCTTTCCATAACACTCCTATAAACTGCAGTCCTGAGACAATAGCAGGACATAATCAATGCATGCAGAACTTTTCCATAGTGAGATCAATTCTACCTCTTTATAAAAATCCAAGTGGTTATAGATCCTAAAAAATGAGAGAGCCACGGAAGACAGAAAGAGCTTGAGAGAGAGTTACAGATGGAAGGAAGAGGCACCAGCTTTCCAAGAATCTTTAATAAACATGAGAAAATGGGGAGTATTTTTCTCCTATTTTTTTTAGAGAAATGATGGATCAGTATTATTTTAGGTAAACCAACAACTCTGCTATGTGTAACATTTGGGAAATAATAATGACCCCCCTCACTGTGAAGATTGCTACAGGGGCAGGAATTTTGTACTGGGAACTGAATACAGAAAAGCAGTGTCTGCAAGTTCTGACTGGATAACTACTTTCAGCTTGCATTTCTACTGTAAATAATATGTGGGCCTATACATCTCTTATTGTCCTAACTATATATAGTTTTTGAACAATTTCATTTTTTTCATCCTTATATTCGCTGCTTTACATGTTTTTATGTGTGGTCTATTCTCCTGGGCCCTGGCATGCAAATAGGCAATTGATCAATACGTCAATCAATGTTTTTCATTGTACACAGAGTAGCAAAAGCTGTTCTTTCAGCTTCCATCCATTAAATTACATGCACAAGACCACACCAAATGGAAACACTATTTGAAGCAGTTCTGTACTTGTGCTAGAAGGTCATGAGACCTTAATCCACCACGGGGAATATTGGTACTTGGCATCTATTAAGAAAAAAAGGTTATGACTTGCTGAAACAAATTAGAAATTGGAAAATCTCCCAGATTTTATTTGCACTCATTAAGTTAAGTAAATCTGAAAGGAAACAACTTGGTGGAACAGTACATGGATTATAAAATGTTGTTTCACATATAACATGGGAAAATGTTGTTCCTTGTGGATGAAAGGTCATATTGATCCATCCTTTGGTACTGTATTTATAGAGATCAGAACACATATGGTTGGATATTTGTTCAAGGACCTGCATTTGTATACTAAAAAGGGTGGTGTTGGTTATGTTTCTACCAGCGCTTTACAGTGTAAATACACTGATAGTGCTTTAGAGCTCTATAGGTCTCAGATCTTTTGAATTCTAAAGCACCATACAAGCCGTTCTATTGCTTATGTGTGTGGAGCTCTCCTTTGCATCAGAAAAGAGCAACCTTTTCTCTCTCTTATTTGGAGCTCCACGCACGGATCAAAACTACAGGATCCGACTGATCATATTAATGGTGCGTGATAGGGAACACGGTTATTTTCTTTATAGGGTGCCAGCTGCATTCCACACAACAGTTGCACCTAGCCAGCATATGGAGACTCACTGCTGTGCCTCAGTACAGCTTGTCAAGCATGCCTCAAAACAGACCCAATTATAATTGCTCACTGAAGCATCCCTTGCAAGTGGTGATGGGCACATGGAGCCTAGTCTGCAAGCAATGGCTCTCCCTGACCTTTTTGGGCCGGTTGTGAGGAAAATGTTCACAGCTTTCCGCTCTCCATAGTGTAGCCAAGAGTGGTTAAATTATCACTTATGTGCAATGAAAACGGGTGGAAGAAATGCTCAGGCTCAGTAAACAGACAAATTTGAGGAATTCTTGTATTCATATAGAGATGTTTTATTATTTATCACCTTGAGCTAAGATGGAATGGATGCCACATCTTTTCTCTTTCTTTTCTCCCCATAGGCCTAAAAGACATCCAAAATTTCTATCTGAAACATTACGAGCTTGTACCAAAAATGTAGAATGGAATGAAACAGATCAAGCAATTGTTTTGGTGTTTTGTCTTATGTCTGTTATAACAGGCTGTGCTTTTTATTTAATTTTAGTTTGTTAACTTATAATTCGTATTTATATGTAGGGTTGTATAAATTTTGTTAGTATGGATGTATTGTTGTTGTATTTGGGCATTGAATATTTGCCTTGTTTGGAATCTGCTCTGAGTCCCTTTGGGGAGATAGAGCAGAATATAAATAAAGTTATTATTATTATTATTATTATTATTATTATTATTATTTATTAACAAAAATGACTACTTTGAACTATGGTAAAATACTGCCATATTAAGAAAGAGATACACATGTTTTACTGAATAAGATTGATAGGAAATATATTTTCATAAAGTTTCTTCAACTTGTGTTATAAATATCCAAAGAAGTATGAAACTTTAATGTAATGTGCAAATCAATACGGAGAGAGCAAATAAATGAGGAATCCAACTAGTTTCTATGTTAATCATCAAAATTGCTTCCATGAATAATTTAATCCAGATCTTGGATGATGTCATTGTTGATTCAATCACTTTTGAGGCATGAAATGCAATGGCACATTTGTTGCTCAGTAGACCCTTTTGCTAAGCGAAAACCTCCCCTCGGAGATCCTCTCATGCCAATCTGATTACAGACACAGGATGGCCATTAAGTAATTATTGTTCCCTACTGAGAAGCTGACCAGGTGGTGGCAATAAGAATGTGGCTTTCAAGATGAGCCAAAAACAAAGGGCCAAATTGGATGTGACAGCACCAGATTCTTTTGTTTAAGCTCAAGTTAGTCTGAACATCCATAAAACCGGGAATGTGAGCTCTGGTTCTGAAAGGAAAGATGACATGTGCCAAACTCTTTCTGGCTTAACTCCCTATAGTAGTCTACCATACTTTTTTCTCAGCTGGGCTTCTGAAACAAGCTTGACTGGGAGAGAAGAGCTTTAGAAGAAGCTTTGTGAGTAGTTTACAAGAACTGATAAGTGAGGGGAATTCTGTTCTACATGCACATATGTCCCCATTGTTCTAAAATTAGGCATTGTTTCCTTGCTTTTCTGTGTCGCTGATTTATAAACTGTAGGTTCTGATCTTAAATGGGGCTCTCTTAGCTCAATGTTGGGTTCACGAAAAAATTGGCGACAGTAACAGGATTCTGAACCCATTTACACAGATCTGTTCGTAACAATGTGTTTATGGTGGACTCTTCAGGAAATGCTTCAGCTGTATTCCACAAAAGAAAAAGGCTCACATATGCTGTTATATTATCAGTAAATATTTGATTTCTATGTCGATTTTATATACCTCTATACCTAGGGTCACATATAAATGTCTTAGGTGGAAAGGGGTCATGGGTGGAAAAAGTTTGAAACCCTATTCTATGTGACTCAGGTAGATCTCAGTTTAAACAAGCAGTTATACTACTATTGTATCTTCTCTGAGCCTGCAAGAATGCAAACATATCAGCAGACTCAACATCACATCCCAGTTGGTTTTGGCTGGAATCCTGTTGGTGTCCTACACTTGTGCACATGCTAAGTTTCACTGTGCAAGCGGTCAGGCCTTTTCTCTGATAAGCAATATCTGCATTCAGTTTGAGGTCACAGAATGAGGTCTACATGCAGTTCCTTTGCAATGTGGATGTACATTTTCATGCAGTGCACATCTGGCTTCCCCTGCTGAGACTGATGATACTATTACTTCAGTTGAGCACTCTGTTGTGCATGCATTGGTATATTCAGTCATGTAATGTTGGTATTCAACACAAAAGTTGTGTAGCACAATATATATGTAACTCATTTTGTGGAGATTTATGCCATGTAACTCCCAGCTTGTTTCTCACTTATATGCTTTACCTCTGGTTCCATTTCTTTCTCTTGATATGACTGGCTCACAGTGGCCCTAGAGCAGCGGTTCTCAACCTGTGGGTCCCCAGGTTTTTTGGCCTACAACTCCCAGAAATCCCAGCCAGTTTATCGGCTGTTAGGATTTCTGGGAGTTGAAGGTCAAAACATATGGGGACCCACAGGTTGAGAACCACTGCCCTAGAGGTTTCTATGGAAGGCCCATAAACTGAACATGAAGGAAATGGTATCCCCTGCTTGTGTTCACCTGCTTCCTCTGACATTTAATTATCACAATCTCTACAAATTTGTCAAATCTCACCTTGAAGCCATTCAACTTGAAGTCTATTGCTGCATCTAATGGGAAAAGCTTTTATAGTTTAACTATGCACAGTGAAGCCGCCATAACCATAGAAACCGTGGTTTCACTTAACCATGCCTGGGGAAAATGGTCTGTTTAGGAAATTGTTAGCTCCTCCAGAGTAGTTCTCCTGGACGTCATCACAGAGTTGCACAGGAGAACCTATAAAATCCCTAGAGAGCCTACCTCTCTACAAATCTGTAGGTAAAGGGAAAGGTTTTCCCCTGACATTAAGTCCAGTCGTGTCCAACTCTGGGGTGTGGTGCTCATCTGCATTTCTAAGATGAAGAACCGGTGTTGTCCGTAGACACCTCCAAGGTCATGTGGCCTGCATGACTGCATGGAGCTCCGTTACCTTTCCACCGGAGCAGTACCTATTGATCTACTCACATTTGCATGTTTTCGAACTGCTAGGTTGGCAGAAGCTGGAGCTGACAGCGGAACCTCATGCCGCTCCCCGGAATCAAACCTGTGACCTTTCGATCAAAAAGCTCAGCAGCTCCGCGCTTTAACCCACTGTGCCATCAGGGACTCACATCTGTAGGTCCTTCAAAACAACTCTGTTGTATGTTGGGACAGAAAGTCAGGTATTTTAATAGTGTATGGTTTGAGCCATCGCTT